TAGACACTTCAATTTTATTTATATGTATAGATTATTGGGTATCAATTTTTGACATCTTCTTTGGTCTAATGGGTCATAAACGCGACGTAATTTTTTAGGTCCCGGGTTCGAATCCCGGATCGGGTCAAAATCAGTTATTGGGTTTGGCATACATTCGGGCGCTCTAATACTGTCCTGTGCAGATAGCTAGTCTTTGTTGAGGCTGGCTTCTGTGACTGTAATTCGGTCTGGAGTACATTATTATATATCTTAACGTTTATTTTTTGTTTCATCACTGTATTATTTTGGCTGCAACTGACATTTTACTGTTGGAGAATCGACCGTGATGTAGTTCGATATACGACAAAACGTTATTAATTTTAATAAAAATTTTGTAATTTTATTTTTATTTGCAAGTAGTGATTTGTGGATCTCGATAGCAGCGCCACCTACCGGGTCCAATTGTAGACCTAAACCATCTGGGACACACTAAATATACATATAAAATTCTTCAGAATCGGTCGAGCCAGTTTCGAGTTTTTGCGAGACTAACGCTTAACAATTGATTGATTGATATGAGAAACCCCGAGCATAGCTCGCTGAGCGACCTTGAGCTTCTTTATACGGCCAGCAGTGAAAGACCACGTCTCAGATCCATAAGTCATCACTGGCAATACGCACGGCTTGTACACTCTCGTCTTCAAATTTTGAGGTATACGAATACCTGATAATTTCCCGAACGCTGCCCAGCCGAGGTGAATCCGTCGATTGACCTCTCGGTCGTAGTTGGACGTACCTAGTCGGACTATTTGTCCCAGGTAAACAACTTCGAGCTTAGTGCTCCCAACAACCGGCATAGGTGTGACATGGACTTTATACACGATCTTACGCACCAAAATCAACATGGCTTAAAGTTTTCTTTATATACCCAACTGTGCGTCATATTATTTTGCAATGACTCACGTCATAAAATGAACACTTACGTAATACATATTCAAATCAGCGCGTCGTGGCGTTTTCAATTCTTTGGACAACGGAAATCAGTTAACTACCGAATTTCATAATGTCCTGGCGATGGTAGGCGAACTTTTTTTTAAGTCAATTTATCGTTGCTTCTTCATAACTATATTCATCTGTGTCCAATCCTTATCGAGTTATGTTTTGGAGAGAAACATCATCATCATCATTACAGCCCTTCACAAGTTCACAGCTGAACATAGGGCTCCCACAAGGAATGCCACGGTTCCGAGCCATCTGCATCCATTGACATCCTGTATGTATTACCAGGTCGTCACTCCATCTAGTTGGGGGACCTTGAGCTTCCTCATACGGTCAGCAGTAAAGGACCACGTTTCAGATCCATAGGTCATCACTGACAATACTCTCCGGTTGAAAAATCTTGTTTTGAGGTATTCCTGACGAGAAGATGTGTCGTAATCTCCCAAACGCTGTCCAGCCGAGTTGAATCCGTTGATTGACCTCTCGGTCGAAGTTGGAATTACCTAGTCGTATATTTACTTTACTCTTCAACAGCTTCGAGCTTAGTGCTCCCAACAACTACCGGCATAGGAGTGACATGGACTTTTGTTTTGTACATGTTAATTTTAAGACATATCCGTTGGGAGACACTATTGAGGACATTGAGCATTATGCTTAGGTCTGCCAGTGATTTTGCCATAAGTTCAATATAGTCGGCAAATCGAAGGTGAGTGATGAACTCACCATTGACGTTAATAACGTATCCTTTCCAGTCCAGTAGCTTGAAAGTTTCTTCCAATGCAGTTGTGAAGAATTTCGGGGATATTACGTCATCCTGTCTTACACCTCTCTGCAATTGGGGGTTACGTACTCTGGTTCTGTACTCGGATAGCCATCGTAGCCCTACTGTACAAATACTGCAGAACTTCGATATACCGACAGATAACTGCAGTCCATTTATTTTTATAATAAATGGAAGTTCATTATGTACCTATGACTACTTTAATGATTACAAGAAAAAAACAGTGGTAGAGCCACACGGCAGCTTTTGCTGTCGCACGAATGGGCCGGCTCGAACCAGGGTGGTACGACGACCTCACAGAAAACCAGCGTGAAGTAGAGGTTTACCTCTGCGTTTCGCTTGGTGAGTGCAGGTGGCCGGAGGCCCTTTTTACTGGAAATGAGGCATTCCATCTTAGTCCTCACGGGTGACAACGCATCTACATTTTGATTTGTAACAGAGGATAGATGTAGATGTCTATGGGCCGCAGCAACCACTTACCATCAGGTGCATTGTGTGCTCGTTTGTCATCCTTATCCTAAATTTCGACGGAATCAGAAACTTTTTCATAGTTCTCATACGCAAGATAAAGTGGAAGATTATATTCTTCCGGTCTTCTGTGCAATTTGCCGAATGGTATGTTTGTGGTCTATGAAGCTAAAGCCTTTTCGGAAACCAGCTTGTTTGGGAGACTGGAGGTTGTCGAGCCTGCGTGCGAGAAGATTCGTAATATCTCTCCAAAACGGCACGTAGACGCGGCTCAGAAGGAAAATTGGTCTATAGTTCTTCAAGAGAATATTGTCACCTTTCTTGAAGAACAAGGTCACCGCAGTTCTGTACCATGCCTCCGGAGTAGTGCCACATGGCGCAGCCACCATGGTGTACGGAATAAAAGAGCTTCTGAAGGACTTCAAGTACCGGTTTTAAACCCGATTTCAAAAGCTCTGCTGTAATTCCATCCTTAGCCGGGGACATGTCGTTTTCAAGGTTTTTTTTATAGGATAACGTTTATAAACGAGCACACAGTCCACCTGATGGTAAGTGGTTGCTGCGGCCCATAGACATCTACATCTATCTTCTATTACAAATCAAAATGAAGATGCGTTGTCACCCGTGTGGACTAAGATGATGATGCAGAGCCACTCTAATCTCGCTGATACTGACGTCCGGGATATCATCGGAATAAATCCTAAATATCTGACACCTCCTTGGGACAGATAGTTGCACTCCCGGCGATAGAAGAAGTTACAGGATTCGAGGATTACCGTGTCCTCCCCCTCTTTTCAGACCTCCGACAATCCTGTAATATCCCAGCGCAACTTGTCTGTCTCTTCTTCAGGATCTTCTCGTCAGTACTCAGGGTGCGTGCGTTATATCTTGCCAGGTAGAGTCATTTTAGGTGGCAACCCAACCTCCACCGGAGATTCTTAGCACATCAGATTCTTAGCAATGGTAGGTGTGCTGGTGGTCTACTGGATAAGTACCAACCTTTTACCTATTTCTGTGATAAATCAGCAGTGTGTGCAGTTACAGCTTGTAGGGCATTCCATTTTAGTCCACAGAGCCAGTAACCTTTTTTATTTGAAGTTGGTTACAGATGTCCTTGGACAGCAGGAGTCACTTACCATCACGTGAACTTTAAGTTTGTTTAATTTCATTAGTATTTTATGTATTAAGCTCATCTGAATCTTTACAGTGAAAACATATCTGCGGTTGTGTTTGTTTCGAATGGGTTATGTTCATAGAATGCATTAGCTAATTACTTCAGGTGGAGTATTAGCCTGTTTATCTGTTTAAGAGAATTGTGAAGTTGTGTGTTTCATACAAAAAGCGATAAAGTTTTTTAACCCGTAAACATAGTCTAATTCTTATAATTTATTGGAAATCTATGTATCTTTATACATAAAAATTTCGTGTCACATTGTTTATCCGCGATGAACTCCTAAACTACTAAACGAATTGCAATGAAATTTTGCACTCTGTGTGCAGTTTGGTCCAACTTGAGAGATAGGATAGTTTTTATCCCTATAAGTGACCCTCAACATTTTTATTATTACGAATTTAAGAAATTTTATAGGACACAGGGTCGTCGGAGAGGGCATAACAACGTCTGCCTGGCCAGCTAGTATATTATATAAGCGAAAATACCACTGACTGATATGTTGATGTAGATGTCTATGGGCCGCAGCAACCACTTACCATCAGGTGGACTGTGTGCTCGTTTGCACCCTTATCCAATAAAAAAAAATTCTTAAGAACTGAGTATAAATATAACCCAAACAAATTAAATATTTTTGCTACTATTTCTTGACTGACTCATCACGACATCTCTAAAACTATAGACCCGATTGACTTGTTTTCTCAAAGTAGTCGATCACTAAGAACGGATTTCAGGATCGTCCTATAAAAAAAATCTTGATATTTCTTACCTACGTTATTATTGTCTATTATCGTTCACCCAGCGAAGCGAGCGGGTATCAGCTAGTGTTGTAGATATAATGAAAAACTAGGCTAATAAAAACTAAACTTTTTTAATTTTACCACTGGTTCGAAAAAAATACTCTGTCTTGGGAAGAACCAGCAAGAAACACAGCAGAACTTTTTTAAAAAAAAATCTATACCTATACATTTAGAAACAGCAGTGACAACCTCATTCCCAGGTGTTATTATCAGTCATGTACTCTTTAATAGTATAATAGCCCTTATTAGACAATTTTTTGCTTAAAATAATTTTTTTTGATAGAAAAGATCTGCATATTCTTTGGGACTTTGTTGTAAAAGCGTATACATTGCCCCATGAAGGAATTATTGACCCTTTGTGGTCGAGTAACTGATATAACTAACTTATGCTTGTTGCTAGTATTTACAGAATGTAAATCACTATTTGTAATAAAACTATTTATGTTTTTGTGTACATACAATAAGTTCTCGTAAGTATATTGAGAGACCAAATTTAATATATTTACTTCTTTAAATGTTTCTCTAAGGGATTTCTTCGGACCTAGGCTATAAATTGCTCTTATGGCTCTCTTTTGCAAAACAAAGGTAGTTTCAATGTCAGTCGCATTACCCCATAGCAAGATTCCATATGACATTAAGCTATGGAAATAACTAAAATAAACTAATCTAGCTGTTTCAACACATGAAAGGCATCTAATCTTTTTTACAACACATGCTGCAGAACTAAGTACCTTAAATCGTTGCCTCGAGTTTCGGAAATTTCAATTAAGTTTGAACTTTTTATGGGCTCTATAATAATCTAATGATTGCTCAATTTGTGAGTTGAAATTTCTTAACAAACTTGAAACTCAATCCCAAATTACCTAAGCAGAATTCATTAATTTAAAGCCTGAAATGCGTATAAAACCTGCAAATTAGGATTTAACCATGAAAGAGATTTTCTATCTGCTCTTTTGAACCTATAAATATTTTGGTTAATAACTTTTTTAATTAAGTAAAATGCATCCTTGTCTTAGAATGTAAAAATAACAGTGGAAGAGTTTAAGTAGGATTAAGGTTAGCAAAACTTTCTTAAAAAAATATTTACGTTTCGATATACGTAATTTGAGAGAAAGAAAATAAAGGAAGTATTTGAATTTTGATATTTGTAAACACACAGGTTAATAAAATTATAATTAAATTAAAAAATGAAGTTGACGGATATCGCCATAGAGCAACACGCTTACCACCGGTCCGGAGAGGAGTACACTTAGCGTTTTTTCCTGATACTGAACTGTCTCTACCAAACGCATGCCATGCAGCGGCAGCATTAGGGGATCCAACACTCTTATATTAATCGAGGGTGTACAGTGTACACCCAACACAGCACCCAGTTCATCAGCTTACAAAAGTCCACTTCTGACATCTTTGCGTTGCCCCTCGTCACTAGGCTGGGTAATTTCTATCGGTAGCCATAAGTTTTTTAGCTATAATATGTGGTAGAGCCACACTGCAAATATATTTTGGTTGCAGCGCAAATGGCTAGGCTCGACAAGGGAATGTCCACGCTCTCTCAGAATATCAGCGTGAAAAAGCAACTTTATATAGCTTTGTTTCGTATGGTGAGTGTAGAGAACTAGAGACCCTTTTTATTTGAAACGAGGCGTTCCATCTTAGCCGACAGGGGTGACATCGCAATTCACAACTGCAGTTTGATTCTTAATCGAGGATAAAAGTCCATGGGCCGTAGGATCCACTAGGACCAGGTGGACTGTCTGCTCGTTTGTTACCCTTATTTTATATAAAAGTCCTATAGTCACCTCTTACTGCACCCACAGACAGAAATTGGGAGGGAGGGATAGATTCTCTTACACCGCCTCTACACGGCGATTAGATATTAGGAGATTTTTTAATGATCCTAACTTTAAATTTATAAGTCTAAAATAAAAAAAAATTGTAAAAATTAATTAGCTACGATTCCCGTAATAAAATAAAATTACGTGTCTTGCCTAATTTGAAGAGCACCCCCGCCCTCCCTCATTGCGTGCACCGTCCCCGTCACCACTATTCCCACCAGCTCTCATCATCATTACAGCCCTTCACAAGTCCACTGCTGAACATAGGCCTCCCCCAAGGAATGCCACAAAGCACGGTCCTGAGCCACCTGCATCAATCGACTTCCTGCATGTCTTACCAGGTTGTCACACCATCTAGTGGGGGTTTGCCCTACACTTTACCTACCGGTACGAGGCTGCCACTCGAGAGCCTTTCTTGCCTATCGGTTTTCGGTTCTTCGAGCTATATGGTCGGCCCACTGCCACTTCAGCTTACTAATCCGTTGGGCTATGTCGGTTACTCTGGTTCTACTGCGGATATCCTCATTTCTAAGTTTATCATGCAGAGAAACCCCGAGCATAGCCCTCTCCATAGCCCGCTGAGTGACCTTGAGCTTCCTCATACGGCCAGCAGTGAAGGACCACGTCTCAGATCCGTAAGTCATCACTGGCAACACGCACTGGTTGTACAATTTCGTTTTAAGGTTTTGAGGTATGTCTAACGAGAAGATGTGTCGTAGTTTCCCGAACGCTGCCCAGCCGAGTTGAATCCGTCGATTGACCTCTCGGTCGAAGTTGGACTTACCTAGTCGGACTATTTGTCCCAGGTAAACATAGTCGTCAACAACTTCGAGCTTAGTGCTCCCAACAACTACCGGCATAGGTGTGACATGGACGTTAAACATGATATTTTTATACATTTCCTCCACCTCCTCATTGGGGTGTGCCGAGGTTGGTGCGTAAACCTGTATGACCTTCAGCGAATACTGTTTGGTGATTCTGAGTATAAGGTACGCAACTCTCGTCGACACACTGTCGATATTTACAACGTTGTTAACGAGAGACTTGTGGACGAGAAATCTGACACCTTCTTGGGACAGATGGTCGCCCTCCCAGTGATAGAGCAAGTTGTCGGATTCGAGGATTACCGTGTCCCCCCTCTCTTCGGACCTCGGATAATCCTATAATATTTTTTTTTTTTATAGGAGAGGGGGCAAACGAGCATGCGGCTCACCTGATGGTAAGTGACTACCGCCGCCCATGAACAACCGCAACACCAGGGGAATTGCAGATGCGTTGCCGGCCTTTTAAAAAGGAGTAGGCTCTTTTCTTGAAGGTCCCTAAGTCGTATCGGTCCGGAAAAATCCCTGGTGGTAAACTAGCTAGCGTAACTTGTCTATCTCTTCTTCCAGCTCCACAATCTTCTCGTCAGTCCTCAGGGTGCGTGCGTTGTATGTTGCCAAGTCGAGTCTTCTTAGGTAGCAACCGAACCTCCACCGGAGATTCCCCCTGCCCCGCCGTTACCATGGTCGCCACCGTAGTCAGGAATAGCCGGGCCGCCGGGGACTGGGGGCCGTCTCCTTGTTACTCTCTTCATAGGGGGGGGGGGGGGGTATTTGCCATAGTTACCACGGTTGGCGAGCGGTTTGCCAACCGCAGTTTTTTTATTGTAATTTTGCTGTTATCAGGAAGATGCTGCTGATCATCTCCTGCCTGTTTCCCTTTGTCGCCTTTTACGACACCCACGGGAAGATATAGGGTAGTGGATATTCTTAACCGCCACTATACTACCACTATTCCCAACTAATAACAACAAACGACTTCAAACTAGGCAAGGACATAATTACATTTTATTGTTTTTATTTAATAGTTAGGTAAATCATTTTTCAAACGTCGATTTCCGCAAAGTAACTATAGTAAGATGTAATTAATCCTCTATATTTTACACAGGCGGTACTTCGCACCCAGAATGATAAAGAGCAGCCGTCTGGGATCGACGCTGACAAGGAGGATAAGCCGAATATTGTGATAAAATCAGAGTTCAAAAGTTCCGGATCAATTGAATTCGCACCATACTTTGATCCTGATAAATTTGGAGATGAGAAGAAAAACGTTGAAAATGGATATACTGACGATTTCAACCAAACATTTGCAACTACCCCGTACGACTATGGATACTACGATTCGAAAATCGGTAAGTAGATACCAATTTAGTTTTTGAAGTTAAATACCATTTCCGAAGAAATTAATTTAAGTGTAATATAAAATCAATCTAATATAGCCTGAGAATTTAAACATTCTTGGAATACATTGTTCACCATCTTTTAAAAATCTAGAAAAATTTCAAGCATATCTTGAAATACACTTTAATAATAACTTAACTTAAATTTAAAATTAAAAAAAAAAACCTCCGATACAAAAAGAGTTGATGATCTTCAAACGGCCGAACCGATTTAAACATGTCTAAAAACCACCGCCAGAAAATATGCTTTTAAATAAAAAAAACATACCCAAATCGGCTTTTAGCTACAGTGTCACATGCAGACACACAGACAGACACACACACAGCCGTCAAACATATAACACCCCGCGTCGGGGGTTAATAAAATAGATGATAAACACAAATATAATGGAAACGGTGCTCCACAAAGCTTAGAGTACCAATGCATTATTGCCGAACACGCATTCGTTACAGCTATAGTACACCCAACGAAGGAGCCTTCTTGCCTTGATCACATCTCCTTTAACAAAATTGATGCATTGTATGCCATTTTCACATTACGACTATTTTTCCGAGTTATGCTTGGTTTGAACTTAATAACACTTAAGCCTAAAAGACCTACCCACTTCATGATTAAAAAGATTTCAATGCGATAAAAGGAAATAGCTAGTAGTTCTAATCTAATTATTATATAAGGCATTGGATAGTGTTTAATACATTGAGTTATATGTACTACGTACTAGAGAAGCCATTCCAAACAAAAATTGTGTCCTACTCTATGTCTTCGCGCTTGCGCGGGAGTAGTACTCGCGCATGTGAGAAGACTTTAATTTGATATAAAATAAGATATTAATATAAAATAAATATAAGAATTTAATATAAATATCTTAATTTAATCTAAACAAACATATTTCTAAATAAAATGTAAAAATAATTATTTTATGGAATTCACAAATCTTCAATTTACGCAATATTTAGTATGTATGGATTGCACTACAGTTCAGTTGAACATAGTCAATGTTCGGAATGGCTCCTCTAGTACGTAGTACATATAACTCAATGGTTTAATAGTGATTAATGCTTTACAGTAAAATATTAAAACTCCCTTACTTTTATATAAATATTATATTTTACTTCTATATTTATTATTTACATCTATGACCCTGACTGTGTAGTGGCGGTGTAAGAAAATCCACTACACCATATCGTCCCGTGCGTATCGTAAGAGACTACAGAGGGAAACCGAAACAGGAGATGGGCAGCATCGTCTTCCTAATAATAATAATAAAATATAAAACTGCGGTTGCCAAACCGGATTAACAAGAGTAGGTTGTTCGTACTGCTTGTGCCATCGTGACGCAAAGCGTAAATATTATTTCAACTATTATTTATTTCAATTCTACGCATTGTAGGAGTAAGGGGTCTGGGTCTAAGTAGTTACCACCCTCTTAAGTATTTCTGCCAGCGAACAGCAACAATGCTGTTTGGCGTGCTGTGTGCCCGTCTGAATGGTACTGAGAGCCAGTTTAAGAACAGGCTGTGAGGCATTCCATCTTTGTTCTCCAACGCATCTGTAGACTTCTTCGTTTGAAGTAGCTGCATTTGTCTAAGGACTGCAGTGTCCACTTAGTATCCGGTGAACTATAAGTTTATTTGTCAATAAAGCTTTATAAAAACTTTATTGTTATTTTTTTTTTTGTAGACACCCCGACTACTGTCACACAATTTGAAACACCTCGCTCAATTCGGCAAAATGTTCAAAGCCGCACGAAGACACTGGTTAGCGATGAGCTGGATCAACTACGCTCTGGATTGTAAGTATACTTTTCTTTAACATCTTACATTTGTAACGTTTGATTATTATTGGATTAGCTTTTGGGATTTGTAAAATTCTAGATAAAGTTTCTAACACAAGAAAGGCTAAGCGTCTATGCGTAGCTTTTTAAATTAATTTCAGTACTTCATGATATACTACATATTATAATAACATGGAAAAGTTATCGACATAACGAGGGTAATAATTGACAGATTTCAAAAGAGGGGAATATAATGTTTACGAAAAATGTAATGGTCAATGTTTATTTTTGTACTATTTGTTATATTTTGTATTTATTGGAATAAAAAAATATAAAAAATAAATTCACAAAGGTAGAACATTTTTAAAAAGAGTTGAAAATGTGCAAAAAAATTAAAGAACAAACCACTTTTGTTGTGAACAAACACAAATTGTTTTGTATATTAATATAATACTCTCCAAACAGATAAACTTTTATTTAAAACTAACTTATCAATTAAATGACATTAGTCGGTGAGCGTAGAAGACCGCGTATGGAACAGTTTGTAAATACCGCGTATCTGAGTTTTCACAATTTTACAGGAAGAAGAAAAAAGCCATATGTTGGCCATTCTAATATATGTTACCGACTGAACTTGTTTGCTAATGAACTTATTTTATTGGAAAATAAAGTAAATTTAGGAATAGCTTGTTTGTCTTCCGTTTTTTCCCGTTTTTCTAGCGACGTATGACAGAAAATTTAGTATACCTAAATTTAGTAGGTACGCGGATATGAAATGAATAATTTTATTAATTAAACCAACAAAATTTATAATGACTAAATACTAAAAAAAAGAAACTTCTAAAACATTAACACCCTCTTAGAAAAAAATTACGGTTGGCACTCCCTGGAACTTCCCGCTAATTGAAATGCAAAACGCACCAAATTCAACCTATTATGACGTTTTTGGGCTTGAATTTGAAAAAAACTACTTGTTTCGAAATTTCTCTTCAACGCATGAACCGATTTTAATGTGGTGTTGTCAAAGTTTAAGAGCTGAGCTTTGGATTGATCGTTAACATCTGTTTAAAAATTATAACTGTTTAAAATAAAGTTTTCGAAATAATGGTTATTTCGAAATTTTTATTTTGGGATTTCCCAAAATCTACCGGTAAATGCATTGAAGGTTTAGTAATAAATCTTTCTCATTTTAAATGTCAGAATTACTTCTTTATGTAATTTAAATATTATTAGGTAATAGCTCGAAGACTGAAACTCCCTTAAGTCTAATACTTTGCCCAAGGTCGCAGTAGCGGCATGCTTCGTTGCTGCGGATTCTCTTTGTTTATTTATTTACTATTTTTAATGACCATCAAAAGAGGTCGCAATAATTTTCTTTTTAATTTACATTTTTATTGTATCACTAATAAATATTTCGCGCTTTGAAATTCATCATCTGACACCATTCCTTAATTTGTTATCGCTAGGTTAAGTTAGATTAGAAATTTTTAATGATAGTCGCTATAAACGATTAAACGAAATAATCATTACATCATATCATAAACACTCACGCCTTTCACCTAGAAGTGTAGCTAAAGATTACGGACTTGCATTTGGCACGATTCTAACACCTTCCCGCATCTCTTTCGCTTCCTTTACATCCATATATTTAGGCATACATGCTCTTAACCAACGAGCAGTACGACGAGGGTACTCCTAGTCTGGTCCATTTAATATTTAGCAATCCTTTACAATTGGATCAGGACATTTGTATGCCTAGTAGACAATATTCCTTTATAATAATTGTCATATAATTTATCGGAGCATACGACATATCGTTTTTAGTAATGAATGGAATTCTTCTCAAAATGTTTTAAATATAGATTTCATAAAAAGTAAATATCAATTCATATCAAAAAATAAATATTAATTTAGTATTCAATTAAAACACACTAGTGAATGCACCCCATCTTTACACGGGTGACTTCTAGATCTCGGCAACAGTGAAGCCTACCGTTACTAAACTAAACATAAATGGAAACTATGCGATAGATGAGAATATATTATATTGATAAATAAAAAAACATTAAACTTACACTAGTTGAGGTGAAGAACATTAAAGAAAGTTCCGAAGTAAATATAATATCCTCAATAAATTGGAAGATTTGTTTAGCTGTGAAGAATTCCACTTTTGGCCGTGGAAGGAAAGGGAAGATCTTCAGCCGGACAAGGTGTTCAGTCGGGAGAGCGGCCAATGCTCCATATGTTATTACAGAGCTGTTGTTTATGTAGCGAAATATGTATTTCAGAACTTTGATAGCGTGATTTAGACTTCGGTGCATTTTCACTTGTGGCGCAACGACAGCACCGTTACACAATTCTTCTGGGTTACGTACATAGGTTCCTACATGAGTGTTACGTTTGCAATCTGTTACTCTCTTTGAATAATTGATCTTCGGTCAAACTGTCTTCATAGTGTAATTTAAACTCGTATTTTACGATTCCTAGGGTGATCTTTAATATTTAAATATGTACTCGTAGATTCTCTTTTTGGGAATGCAACATATCAGAGTTTAATTGCAGTAGATATGTTTTATGCATTTTACGAGTACCGACGGTCCGGTGAAACACGCACGGCAGCGACAGGCAGAACTTGATTGGAATTCATATTGCGCGACTCTATATTTTTTATAAATTCACCGTTCAATTTCAAAGCGCTGATACGGTTTAGCCATACTCAGTTTTTCGCACAGTCGTTAGTGACTTCAAAGGCTTTTTAATGGAAAATAAATTGGTTAACGGTGACCGAATGTGCAACATATAACATGAAAAAGTACACGTTCGTTTGAAAATTGCAACTGTCCATAACATTTTAGGATTAAAAATTTACCAAAAGTGCGTTTAAAAAACATCGAATGTAAAAGCGTTTCACAATTTCTTTTTAAATACGTTAGTGCCATCATAAAATATCTGATAACTATATCGGTATGAGAATGAAACCGAAGAATATTTTCTTTTCGAGGGAAAGGCTGATGTCAGATATCTTTGTACGTCTATAGATACACAATTAATAAATTGTTTAATAAATTCTTCGTATGTTTACTTAGGAGTGTTAAAGGCAAGGATAGATTAAATATTGTATTGGAATTTATTTGTATACCTAAATACATATATGTGTGTTTGTATTGTATGTATATTATATAATATATAAATATGTGTATATTCTTGTTTACTTTTTTGTTTTGTCACACCGAGAAATTTGTCAATACTGTTCAATCGTTGGTAGTCTGGAAGAAATTGATGGCTTCTTGTTGCGTATTTCACTTGCCTATTGCAATGATATCAATTGTATCTATTGAAATCATACTTGTCTATTGCATGTTTAGTATGGTGTACAATAAAATATAAAATTGTCCTAGTGACTATTTAACTAAAATTCCTAGATTTATTATAAACTAAAAATTAAACAAACGACAGACGTTGTTCTAACCCTTCTTGTAAGTGGTGCGATGAGTTTTACTCTACAATACAATAATTTCGTTTCTTACCTATGGGTTAGTTAGTGTTCTTACTAGAATCATCACAGCTCATAACCAATCGTTAGCTCATAATCAATCGTGTTGCTTATGGTCAAACAAAGGCTACAGATGCGTAGTCCCCACTGATGGCTGCTAATAATAATAATCTGTGAGAGATGAAATGTCTGGCAGTCAGTAATTAGCTCTGTCAACCTTTAAAATTAGAACACAGCAGTGGGAACATTTTTTTAAATTTATACATTCATTCACTGTGACCTAACAAAAGTCGTTCAAGAAACGAGCTTACTATTCATTACACTCAATCAATAAAACTGAACAATAGGTCTCTCAATTGATAACATAGAACACGATTCTTATTCACGTGATTACATCGTTTGTCTCTGTTCTATAAAAAAAAAAACATGCACGATACATCAGATTTTCATTCCATCTCTAGAGGGTAGTTGCGCACTTGTTGGAACAAGGCTGCTTCTTGAGATCCTTTAGATTATGTCTCTTAGGATGTAACTTTTATTATCAGTTATTCGACTCCAAAAAAAGTCAGAAATTACTTCATGGGACTATCTTTACGCTTTTACAATAAAGTCCCAGAAAATATATCCATCAAAAATATGTTTGCATCATTATTATCATCATTACAGCCCTTCCACAAGTCCACTGCTGAACATAGGCCTCTTAATAAGGCTTAGTATTAAGGAATACATGACTGGTAATAACTTCTGAGAATGAGCTGATGGCTATCTAACAGTTTTCTTTAATGTTTTGCTGGGTTTCTTGCTGGTACTTCTCAGCTCAGTGAATTTTACCGCACCACTGGTAATGTAATCGAGGATAAATTTAGATGCCTACAGGCCACAAAATCCACTTACGACTTGAAGGAATGGATGATTTAACTTTCTACCGACTTCAAAGAGGAGGAGGTACTAAATTCGACTGTATGATTTTTTAATGTGTGTTACCTCATAACTTCTTTCTGGGTGAACTGATTTCCATGACTCTTTTTTATCTGAAAGCTGGTGCTTCGAATGTGGTCTGATATAAATTTGATCAAAGTCTGACCAATAGTTTTTGAGTTGTTCTTAATAATTTATATTGAAGTCGGTTGTACAAATTTTTTAATTTTGAATTATATTATTATCTTAACGTTAGTTACAACGTTCACATTTTGATCCGTACAGATGTCAGTTTTGAAATTTGAAATGGAATATTAAATTATTATTCGAATCTGGATGAACAACGTGCAGGCTCACGGGAACTGACAATTTTCAATTAAGTTTGAACAATCGTTATCGGAGTATGCCGGACGTGTTTTGATTTTTGCCTGTTGTGTGAAAGGTGAAACCATTTTAACTGTTTGTTTTTTAACTTGAATTTTAATTCTGGGTATTTTGTGCGAATATACTTTAATAATGAATATACGAAAGTTATGCCTGATATTTATAATTTAACTTTTAATATAACAGTGGTAGAGCCAAGCGAGTGGTAGCTTTTGCTGTCGCACGGATGGGCCAGCTCGAACCGGGGTGGTACCACGATCTCACAGAATACCAGCGTGAAGTAGAGGTTTACCTCTGCGTTGCGCTTGGTGAGTGCAGGTGGCCGGAGGCCCAATTCCATCCCGCCATCAACATGGTAGTGGAATTAATTAAAAGACTACCCCAGGAGAGTACCAGCACCCCTGGAGAATCCCTCGCTGAGCATCCACGACCAAACTACTTCACTCCTGAGCATAGGTGCTCAGGCTGCCCCGCGTATTCTGGGGGGGGGGGGGGGAAGTCCGGTCGCGACTAATGCTGCTCGGGGCAAGCGGAGCAATACTACTAATATACTCTTTTTAACCGAAACTCAGGTGTCCTCTCCGACTGATACTTCATATCTCTCCTACCCGGGGTACAAATTGGAACACTCCTTTGTGCCCCGGGCTGGAGATTGCGTATACGTTAGAGAGGACATCTGTTTTCGACGTCTCGGCAGTCTTCAAGGTACGGATCTGTCCATCCAATGGCTGCGCGTAGACAGCGACGACCATCCCCGCGTCTACGGGTGCCTCTAGCGGTAATGCCGACACAGACCGACTCATCGACCACGTCCAAATGGCTGCAGGCTCCGTGCTACAACAGGTCCCATCCGCAGAGATCGTGATACTCAGTGATTTTAACGCCCACCACGCTGAATGGCTTGGTTCTTGTTTACCCGATCATGCGGGTAGATTTGTCTATGACTTTGCTTTGGCATATGGTCTAACACAACTGGTTACTTTGCCTACGCGGAACCCAGTTGTGGAAGACCATGTATCTTTCCTGTTGGAACTTCTGCTGACCTCTCATCCAGACGGATATCAGGTCTCCGTCGATGCCCCTCTGGGCTCTTCGGACCATTGTCTGATCCGGAGTATGGTGCCTCTCACACTTCAATCGCAGTTGCGATCTGCAGCTTGCCGCCGTGTTTGGCACTATATGTCAGCTGATTGGGACGGGATGCGGTCTTTTTTGCATCCTACCCTTGGGGGCGAGTTTGTTTCTCGCCGGAAGAGCCCAGCGTTGTTGCTGATTCTGTTGCTGATGTGGTATTTCAGGGTATGGAACTTTTTATTCCATCCTCTGTGGTGCCCATCGGAAGCAGATCCCAGCCATGGTTTGGTCGCTCCTGTAAAATAGCATCACGCTATAAGCAGGAGTGCTACCTGGCCTGGGCTGACGCATCAACGTCTCGGGATGTAAACACCAGCGCACTTAAAAAGAAGTATAATTCCGCCTACAGGTCCTTCAAAAGCGTCATTGCCAAGGCAAGGTCTGAGCACATCGGCAGAATTGGCGAGAAGCTAGTTCGCCTTCCTTTGGGAACCTGTGCATTCTGGTCTCTCGCCAAGGCTGTCCAAGGGAACTTCTGTTAGCCATCTCTTCCATCTCTGCATAGAGAGGACGACTCACTGGGCCATGCCGTAAAGGAGAAAGCCGATCTGTTGAGTTGAAGTGTTGAAGCCGATAGTGTTATCGAAATGTAAATCCAAGATGGTGGCCGCAATAGGTATCAATTTTTTCATCATGGGTGTCATTTTCATAGTTTTCGAGGGTGTTGAAGCCGATAGTGCTGTCGAAATGTAAATCCAAGATGGCGGCTGCAATAGATATCAATTTTTTCATCTTGGGTGTGATTTCCATGGTTTTCGAGGGTTTTGAAGCCGATAGTGCTGTCGAAATGTAAATCCAAGATGGCGGCTGAAGTAGGTACCAATTTTTACATCATGGGTGTCATTTTCATGGTTTTAGAGTGTGTTGAAGCCGATAGTGCTGTCGAAATGTAAATCCAAGATGGCGGCTGCAATAGATATCAATTATTTCATCATGGGTATCATTTTCATGCCTTTCGACAGGTTTGAAACCGATAGTGCTGTCGAAATGTAAATCCAGGATAGCCCCTGAATTAGGTACCAATTTTTTCATCATGGGTGTCATTTTCATGGTTTTCGAGGGTATTGAAGCCGATAGTGCTGTCGAAATGTAAATCCAAGATCTTGAGAAACCTATTACATTTATAATTACACATATAACAAGAATTGCTTACTTAAAGTTTAGGAGATTCTATAGGAATGAACGATTGACACACTAGTGTCCACGACAAATGTCGGCTGGTGGTTTTGACAGTTCGTAAAATAACATAAACAATAGAAAAATACCATGAATATACATAAGAATATTGTACTTATTGACAAGCTGTAATAATATTACAGTAATAGAAGTACTCGTAGCTATATTAAAATTCATACAGTTTCTTTTTTTTTTATAATTATTATGTGAGCAAAATAATTTATTTGTGGATCTTTCATTTTCTAAATTATTGTTAATATTGTATACAATGTACCTACATAACTGAAGATATATTTGTGATTAAATTAATTTAATGTTGTGTTTGAATACTTTTTGTTGATTTGATCAACGATCACTACACGATCTTCTGTCTGATCAGGGCTAATAAAGAATACCGCTTCCCCGTCTCCCTACTGCCCGTCAACCTGCGCATGTTGAAAATTAATCACCCCAGTACCGAAACTCCGTCCAAGGAGAGGTGAAGAAAACATTATTTATACATTTTAGTGGACCTTGACCTTCCTCACTCCTCAACCGTCTCGCTAGACGCTTGGGAACATTACATTTCATCATTGATGAAAATGGAATCTATTTTCAAACATTTGGTTGATCTCAATTGTCAGAGCATGAATTATATTTCATTTGGTAACGATTCAAAATTTCAACAATTTCAAAATATAATTTTGAAATTCGAACAGGAAATGTGCTGTTCAATGGAACGTTTTACGTTTCGATTATTATTATTATTATTGGTAAATTATTAAGTAGTTTATAGTTCAAATTTTAACGTTGAAATTTTCTTTCGTTTCCTGCTATGTTCTCTTGCAAACAAAACACTTGTCACAAGACAGCTGTTTTCTTTAAATCTACTTTTGTTATTAATATATACAAATCTTTATATAGCATGTAATTATTATTATTAATTTGGTACGAATAAACGACATCATTTATTAATTAATTTAACTTAATTGTATTAGAATCGCTCTAATTAATCGAAATGCAATTGATTATATTATGTTTAACGCGATACATCATAATATTAAGAGAACTTACGATACCGTTTAGTTTTAAAATTTTAAGCGATTTATATTTAATATTCCTAACCTTTTCTATGACATAATGTATTTATAAATTAGCCAGTTTTGTAATATTAATTAGTTTATCCTACATACGGTGATGGAATTGATGTATCGGTAAACTGCTGCACCGGATATAGCTTTCAAAGGCGTCGATTAATCGTACCAAGTAGATAGCCTCTAGAGGCTCACATTAGAGTAGTGTCACCTTAAAACTTAGATCGAAGCGACCCTCTTGAGCTCCTGCATAAGGGCGTATCAACACTTGTGCACAAATATGAGAGTTTGTTATATGTACGATGTTTCCTCCATTACTATATCTGTTGAGGTTTTGTTACTAATAACAAAATAATTAAAGTTTACCTTTGTGTGTTCCACTTTGTTGTAAGTCTAGTGATTGTAAAAGCGATTGAAGAATTTTCTTTAGCAAAAAGGAAGTAGACAGCTATTTGAATCGGGCGACTATCAAAATGCCTTTTCTAAACAAAGGGATAAAGTCTGTTAAGTTTGTATAAGTAGCATAAGTTTACGTTGGTAACAAATCCTCTACATGCAATCTTAATAATGCTGACTACCAAATTGGAGCAGTTATATTTACGTCCTTATGCGACAGTATACCCGTAATTTAATGATTCATTGCATACAGATTTGTGAAATTTTCTCGCAGTTCTCACGAGACGGTGTCCAAAAAACCTCAAGTCTTCTTATATGACGGGGTACAGGGTGCAAACGGTTCTTTCTACGATGTCTTCATGCTCGCCGCCATATGCCTCGGTGTCGCTTTGACGCTTTTTGGGGTCATGTTTGGTTTGTACAAGTAAGTATTATTATAGCAATAATAATTTCACTGCCTTACAAGGAAAATAATCATAAATTGAAAATTATTAAATATGTGCTTAATGATTTTGAAGAAAGGTTCTCGGATTGGCCGCCCACTAGGCGCAGTGATGACCTGGTAAGAGATACGGGAAGTAGTTGCATGCGTGTGACTCAGGACCGTGCTGTGTCGTATTCGTTTTTTATAATTTCTAAACACGTTCATCGCCAACATCACGATGTAGCGTGTCCCGTGTCATATTTTGTAAAAAGTGTTATTTAGGGTAGTCATATAGTGGCGGTGTAAGAATACCCACTACACCAAATCATCCCGAGTATGTCTTGTTATGATGCACCAGTCTGTGGTTATGGATTCAATGATCTTCAACTTTATATACTGCGGTGACTTTACTCTATTACCGTCTCCTACTATACATACGCTAACATTACACATTGAATGAAACTAATTTTACAGACTTAACTCCGTGACCGCGGTACCCATGCTGTAAAGTACCCAAAACGTCAGGAATTAAAAAGTTAAAATTAAACGCGGTGAAATTCGAAAAACTTATTTCTTTTAAAAAAAAACCTTCTTACCTATATATTCCGCCAAATATTGCTTTCACAGTTATGTTCCGGTTAGAAGGTTTTTAAGACATTATGAGGTAGCAAACTACCATGTGAGCCGCACTGATGGTAAGTGACTACCGCCGTCTAGGAATAACTGCAACACAATACGAATTACAGGTGCGTTGCCGGCCTTATAAAAAAGAGTTCACTCTTTTCTTGAAGGTTCTTAAGTCGTTTCACCACCGTGCCTCGGAAAGTATGTAAAGCCGTTGGTCCTGTGCCTGATCTTTCTCCGAAATTGCTGGCCGCAGTAGTTGGTTAAATGTCATATAGTGGCGGAGACCCTTTTTACTGGAAAAGAGGCATTCCATCTAAATACTCTCGGGTGACAACGGATCTGCATTTAGATACGTAATCGAGGATAGATGTAGATGTCTATGGGCCACAATAACCACTTACCATCAGGTGGACTGTGTGCTCGTTTGTCACTTCGATGTTTGTCCTTGTGAAATGTATGTATGTAAGCTGCCCCAGCAGAAAATCCTTGTGTGGGTATTGCGGTATTGTTAAAGAAAAAGAACTATAAACAAAAGCGTCGATGAACCTTAAGTACGTTAGCGACTTCAGTTTTATAATAAAAATACAATATAATACAGACGCAAGTATAATAACACCTTAGAACTTTACTTACTCGCTTCATCTGCTCTCAGATTTTCAATAACAGTGAAGGCCCCTAGGAGAATGGATTACCCCGCGTATGGCGTCACCGGCCCGACCTGTGATGCATCAACGGATACCAATCTGGCTAAAAGCGCGCAGATGTACCATTACCAGCACCAAAAGCAGCAAATGATTTCAATGGAGAAGTACAAATTACTTTTTTTTAATTAATATTTTTTTTGTAATTATTTTTATTTTTATCAAATACCAGCGATCTGCCCCGGAAGACCTACCAGGTCCAATTGTGAATTAAAATCATCCAGGAATTTACTCAACCACACACAAAAAAATTCATAAAAATCATTAGAGCCCTTTTCGAGTTTAAGCGAGACTAACGCGCAAAAATTGATTTAGATTTATTAGCGTAAAACAGCAGCTCAATGCTTCTGTGTTACGTATGATGATGATGACTGTAGAGAACCGGAGACCCTTTTACCGGAAATAGGACGTTTCATCTTAGTCCTCAGGGGTAGGAGGATAAATGTTGATGTCTATAAGCCACAGCATCCACTTATCATCAGGTAGACTGTGTGCTTTTTTGTCACCCTTACTCTATAAAAAAGGTACATGGACTTTTTTCATAGAAAAGGGGACAAACGAGCCCGCGGCCCAGCTGAATATCGACCGTCTCACATGAAAAATTGCTACACCAGGGGATTATAGTGTACTAGTGTATGTGCAAACACAGCGCAAACTTTAATATTTTAATTGGTTCTTTGAATGGATCTATATTCACTAGTCGCAGGATAGTTTAGCATTGAAAGTTGCAATAGACAATTTGATTGGTGCCGGCGGGGATGAAACAGATTGCTCGAGTGCTTTTGAATTTTAAGGTGAGCGCTTATCCTTTGATCTAGCACGGTTCGATAAGTTGTTAATACTTTACTTTTTTTTACTTTTTAAAATCTCGTATATTAAAAAAATGAATTTTAGATATAAATCAATAGTACCATTGAGATAATAAATTTGGATCGTTTGCAATTTTTCCTTAATTTCTATTTCTGTATTCAGTATAATGTTAATATTATTTCATTGGTATTTCATCTCGGTAATTAAACATAGCTTCTTAAATTGAAAACTGGTAACTGAATGCTTTACTTAAATAATTGAACCAACAATCCACGTGTGTTTAGCAAATTTTAAATATATTAAAGGGAAACCAATTTGGAACTATGAAAATAAATTACAAGTATTTACTAGCACACTGCGCCACCGTTTGAACGCAAAGGAAAAAAAAGGCAAGCTGCATGTCGCCACATAAGGCCACCTTCTTTTTAACAAATAATTTTACTTTTCCATGCTATAAAAATAAATAACGCAATTCAACGCCTTAATATATTTTTTTGTGAAATATATGTGACAATCGAACAGGTAGTCCACTTGATTGGATGCTGTTGCTCATAAACATAAACATCTATCCTAGAATATGAATCAAATGCAGATGCGTTGTCACTCCTGTAGACTATCATGGTGTTGTTATAAGGACTAAGATGAAATGCCTCGTATTCCAAAATGCCATTCATAACAAACTCAAATGAATGCTAAGTGACAAAGTGAAAAAACATAGTGTCCGTATAAGTAATTTAAAACGTTAACTTGGACGAATGATATGATATGCCTTAGACCATTTAATAAGGGTAAAGTAATAAAATCCATAAATGTAAATAAAAAATTGAAGTGTCAGTCTCGTAATATTGACCTAACTAGCTTTTCTTAAACTCACGGGGTCACTTGCATACTTATATAGCCTTTTTTTAAGTTTTTTTTTGTCTTACTGTCGGTTGAATCGATCGTGATGAAACTTTATGTACCGATAGAGAGCAATGCCAGGAGCTAAAAGTGATAAATCATATGAAAACTATCCAGGCGAAATCAGGACGGGTCGTTAATTACTAATAAAAAATAAAACACATTTTTAAAATACAAAAAAAAATTGTTTCTATATATAAGCCTCTGAAGTTAGTAAGTCGGTGATAAGGGATATGCATTACGTCTTAGTGCCGACTCAGGTGGATCTTATTAAAGTTTTGAAGTTAGTTTTACTTTTCATTTACAAATTTTACATGGTATCTTAGAAGTTTAATTTAGTGTGTATTGTTCTTCGCAATTTTTTTATATTTATAAATTTGTCTGTGTCTATTTTTAAAAACAGGGACAGAATTAGTAAGCATCAATGTTAAATTAATAAACCTTACTATTGCACTAATAGTGGGGGATGGCGCACGCCTTTTCCGTACGCCTTCTTATTTCATGTACGGCACACGAGAACGAACAAATGTGACGAACAATTGAGATGGATTTGCTCTATGTTATGACCGTCATCGCTACAACCATAGGACAAAAGAAGAGTATACATTAGATATGTTACCACACTCTACATATGGCGGTTTCTGCGAGTTAGTTACAGCTGGTCATAAATATCTATTTGTATTTGATGTGTATCGACATGGCAACCTGTATGCCAAATTTGGGACAGAAGACCAACCCATTAAAAAGTTACGTTTTTCCAAGATATTTCTTATGGTCACTTTGATGCCTGCGCTGATGCCGATGGAGATAATAAAACTGATGAGCGTCCAATAGCCAAAAAAACGACGCATTGAAATGGCTGTATCTCCGACGTTTACTCAATCTTCAACCATTTCTAATGTTGTGCAACACTTTCATTCGCCTACTTTTACAATTGTTGAATGTGAATGTAAGTCAGATTTAATTTCTTATTTTTCCACGAATAATTTCATAGAATCTGCAACATTCAACGCCCAAAAGTCGGTCCAAAATGAAATTATTTTAACAAATAAATCACAAAAAATGTGGTCAGTAAATAGCAACTTAAGGAAGCAAGAAAAAAATATAATCAAAATGAACCTTGTAGTCACCGTAACCATGCAACAAATTCTTAAAAAAAACACCCTAAAGTTCACAGGCAGGCTGTTGTTGATTATTAGCGGGAACACATTGAAGTACAAAAGCAGGTTGCAAGGAAATATCGGCGGAAACACCTTGAAGTGTATAGAGTATTACAGGATGTGAACGAAATCATGAAAGACAGCGAGTTGAAAGACATCTACAACAAAAATATAATCAAAATGAACCTTGTAGTCACCGTAACCATGCAACAAATTATTAAAAAAACACCCTAAAGTTCACAGGCAGGCTATTGTTGATTATTAGCGGGAACACATTGAAGTACAAAAGCAGGTTGCAAGTAAATATCGGCGGAAACACCTTGAAGTGTATAGAGTATTACAGGATGTGAACGAAATCATGAAAGACAGCGAGTTGAAAGACATCTACATACAACCTTGGAATTCTAAAGCCTTTTCTGGACTGAGTTATGATAGTAACATAGCGTACGATAGTGATAATACTGTTGTTTTGGGGCCGATGAACATCGAATGCAAGTGGTGTATAAATCTCAAGTATAAGCACGGATCTGTGGGAATTTGCTGCGATTCAGGAAAGGTCCAACTCGAACTTTTGCAAAAGCTTCCAGAACTTCTTTACTGTTTGAGATAAAACTGAGCATGATCACTACATGGCTGGCATACGGCATTATAATAGTTGTTTTCAAATAACCTCATTTCTAGCTAGAAAGATAAAAAGTGCAGGGTCAAGTGTACCATTTAGTTGGAAGTTTGTTTTCGCCACCCCAGAATGAACCACAGCCCTTACATATATATTTTGTTAGTGAAGACGATAGAGAAGTTCAGTAGAGATACAATAAAATATTTTATCATAACCATAAACAAAACTCTAGGTCAAACTCTTAAGGTAGCAAGACTTAAGGGAGTAGACTCGATAGAAAGCTGCTTCTCTCACGGCCAGTGGTATGTGGCATACGCTAGAGTAAGCACATAGAGTAGCTTGGTGATTGTAGCACCCGAAGGAAAAACAAAAAAAATATTGTTTACAAAGAAATACTGCGGTAGGTGTAAATATTTCGACTTCGTTGTTAAAAAGTTAATACCTCCGTGTCACTTTCACCAGATCATCAAGACCGAGCTTCGTGTTCATAAATTATAACATATTTTTTTGTTATTTAACCGTTAAATCCCTACCCTATAATAAAGAATTTCTATGTAATAACAAAATTAATAATGTAAAAAAAAAAACAATTAAAAATCCCATTAGAACCATATTCTTCTACGCGAACGATGTTGCAGCCAAATGCTAGTAATATCATAAAGCTCGTATATCTCATTAATTCTACTAAACTACAAATTAATATATCCCTTTACGCATGCACATCTACACATTTAAAACATGGAATAAGCGACCCGCAACCACCTGCCAATCACGTTGTCCTACATACATAACTCACGTCTAACAATTTTAACAAAATTTGTCAATTACTCATTGTTTTTGACATATTTTATACTATGAAGATGTGAGTGTATTTTTCCATATACTATTAATTTGTTTCTTACTTTTCTTAGACTTTACAGGTTTATCTAGTACAAGGTTCACAGAGCAAATATTGTGTTATGTAATACCAACTCCTTATAAATAAACAAGTAATAATAGTATAATTTAAAATTAAACATTGTGTACAACCGACTTCAATATAAATTATTAAGAATAACTCAAAAACTATTAGTCGGACCAGATCAAATTTATATGGGACTGCATGTGTAGCACCAGCTTTCAAATAAAAAAAAAAGAATCATCGAAATCGGCTCACCCAGTGAAAAGTTAGACATAAAAAATATACAATTGAATTGAGTACCGTCTCCTTATTGAAGTCGGTAGAAAATAGTGTTAGGTGAATTGACGTGCGAAATAAATCGAATTAAACTGAACGCTCGGTCGATTTCCCGAGGAACCTCTAACCACTTAGTGATTGCGTCTCTTCAGCTGAGTTTAGCAATTAAGACGGAATTGCATCTTGTCATTCCTAAGGCTTTGTGGTTTTAGTGCATTCAATCTAAATTATCCCCTAAATCCTCTACAATACGGTCTGTTGCGTATTTGATAACATTATTCACTATTTTATAAGTTAGAATTTTATTAGATTTATATTTTTGAAATGAAAATTTCTCAAGAATCGTTGTGATTTGAAACAAAAAAGCGACACTAAAAAAGACAAAAATATGCTTCTATAGGATTTAGCCTGCGAGAGAAAGAAATAGAATACGGTAGACAG